CCCCAAAACCCCAAAACCCCAAAACCCCTTGGAGAGCATTATGATCTTCATCGATGAATTAAAATTCAAGTAATAATTATAATTTTTCCTAGTAATTCAATAAAATGGAAAATTTTAAATAAACCAAAATTTTAGATTTATCTTCACCTTAAAGACTAAATTTTAGGGTTCTAACAACTATAATTTATTCAATCACTCTAACCAATGCATTAACTTTTGATCCTAAAACACTTGCAATGACAAACTTGGATTGGCTCAGTGACATCTAGCCCTACTTCGCTTCAGAGGTAATAATAAGCAATTACTTTTTTAAATCTAATTTTAGATGTTCACATTCACAGATGCTATAGATTATTTTTAATCTTTAGGCTAGGAATTTCCCTTTCTAATATAAAATTTTAAAATTTATCAATAGAAAACCTATAATAATAGAGATTTAGTGAGTTTTGATCTCTCTTATAGTAAGTTTTATGACAAAAACACATATCACTTTTTAGATAACATGAGTCATTCAGAAGGAAAATTAGACTACTACAAAAACTTATTAGGAGCAGAGCAGTTCTAATTTAATAAAGTCGTCCCAGATGAAAAACATTATATGCTCTTTGTATCAGGACATAACGCGAATTCAATGACCTCATTGAATATGGTCATGTCCTAAGTTTCTTATTACATCTATGCTTATTTAAGAGGATAGCAGGATGTTGTGACTCTATTAAAACTAAATGTCATAAGGTAAGTTAATAATCTAAATTTAGATTTAATCTTTAATGAAAAAATTTTAGAGTTTATCCTTTAATCAATCCTGATGGGTATGAATATGTGAGATAGACATATCTGAACTAAAACTATACTTATTCTTATGATCTTGAAGGATTTGTAAAAAATAGAGCAAATTTAAACAGTCTTTGTCCATATCCAATGGTAGGTGTTAGTTTGAGAAACAACTACGACTACAAATTCGGAGTTGATGATGTTGGAAGTGATGGGGAAAGTGATTGCTAAGAATTCTTTAGAGGTAGAACAGCTTTTTCAGAAGTTGAAACACAAGCAATCAAGAATGAAATAGAGAGTATGACCAAAGATAAAGGAATTAATTACAGTGCAGTAATCTTCATTGAAAGCCATCCAAACACAAATGCACTGATTATTCCAAATAATTATTTGAGAGAATAGCTTAATGTACTTTTAGCTTAATAGGATGGCAGAATTTACAAGTTCTTCATGGACTTGGCTGAGTATTATGAGCCATCAACTGGTTAAAATCTTTTTGTTGGTAATACTATAGATATATTCGGGAAATCAAATAACGGAGATCCTAACGACTGGATATTTCAAATGAAGAAGATCCTTACAATGACTTTGTTTTTAGCTGCACCCGAATATCACGGGTCTTCCTTGTATGGTGATATGTTTCTTTATCCAGACTAAACACTGACATTACTTCAAAGAAATCAATAACTTTTAGTAGACCTTATGAGAAAATCAACTAACAACTTGAGGTATAAATTAATAAAGAGTAATTTAAATTAGGATAGATATTGAGCTGCCTGATCTATGCAAGATAAAGTCAAAAAATAAGTTTAACCATGAAGTATGCGATTAGCCGTCTGATTTTTATGATCTCTACGTTTACCAAGCTATAGATTTGAATAACAATGGAAGAGTAGACACAACTGGCAATGTGAAATTTGAGCTTCAATCAAACATGAATCTGTATAAACTATTTGTGAGATCGAGTAGAGCAATGCCATACTTAAACACTCCATTTTTCTAAAGTCCAGCAACTGGGGCAATATCCTTGGAATTACCTGATATTGAGAGAGATAATCTTAGGAATATTGGAATTATTTGCATTTTCCATTATGAAGTTGACAATATAACCTCAATCTAGGATGTAAGGGAAAAATTAGTTTATAATGAACTAGTTTCCTTTGTAATCACCTTTGAAAATGGAGCTGCAAAAATGGTTGGATAGGCATCTATTAACCTTCAGCTGATTTATACATATTTAAACACTAGGCTGATAGAGGAATCTTTAAATGCAGGCAAATTCAGATCAACAAAAGTAATATTGTACATGTTCTACATAGCAATAGTTGCCCTTAATCTAATTTGGTTACTTCAGATAAGATTTAATATATGCCGTAAGAACCAAAGGAAAGACTAGTTCACAGGATAATCTGCTTTCTAGGGTGAAGTTGAGATGAAAATTTTTGAAGAAGCAGATATTCAAGACAAGGCCGGAGGAGATTATTATTTAGATCATGATGAGCTCTACCAGAAGTAACTTGGTCTAATATAAAATGGCTCTACCTTCAAATCATCAGATAACGAATACTCTCCCAGAAGACATTCAAATATAAATCATCTATTGATGTCTGACGCTTCTTTGATTAGTTAAATGAACTCTAAAAATACAAGTCACATTGGAGCTAAAAAGGCTTAATTACTAATTGACTTGCCTCAAAATAATTATGATAGCGGTCTTGCTTCTGGTAGGTATCTTGAAAGTACAAGAAGTTTATTGGTTAACTCTAGATAAGATAATAAATTTGGCAGTGATTATGACACTGACACTCAATAGTAACTCTATCCATCAAACTAGGTGATGCAAGATCCCTATACTCATTAAGCTCAGTATATTGACATGAAACGAAATCCAAGAAAGCTCCGCAAATCCAGAGATCAAAACGTAGAGTAAATCATTGACAATGACATGCTCATCTTTGGAAAGGTTGAGAAGATAACGAAGGAATAATTCAGAGTCGAAAGAAGTGCTAAAGGTAAGACAAAAATTATAAAAGAAATAGATCACCCAAGGGAAGCCAAAAGAAAGTAGCTGAGGAAAATAGTGAGTAATATTCAAGAAGAGGAAAATGAGAATTCCTACTTCTAAGCTGATCAATCAAATATTACTGTCAGGCATGTTCAGAATGATGATCCAGAAGACAATATCTAAATACAATAAGAAGTGCAAGAAATGAGCAAGACTAGAAAGAAATCGAAGAAAAGTATTAACTTTTACAAAGAAGATTAATTATATGAGCAGAACAGTAAGAAGCATCACAATAATCACTACAACCAGAGCTTCAGCAAATTAGATTAAGAAGAAGTCATCAAGTTCAAGGATATCAAAGTAAAGCAAAAACAAGTGTCAACTAATGATCTAGCTGTTTACAAAACTACTAAGAAGCACAAGATAAGCGTTGGCAGTGGTGTACCAAAATTAAGCGCTCACTCTGGAGGTTCTGATTAGAAGTAGAAATCTAACAATGAAAGTCCAGAAAAAGTAGCTGTTTACTAAGAAGATATTGTTCAGAAGTTTGAAGATCAGATAAGCAATAAATCTAGTCCTATCAAGCATCTTGCGAAGCCTGAATATAATAACTTTATGGAAGCAGATGAGATTCTTGAAAACGATGATGATTGATAAAAAAGTTGATATTTTGTTTATGATTTATTATTAGTTTAATGATCCATGAAAAATAATAATTTAGAAAATATAAAATAAGGTACTCGTTATAAAGATAATTAAGTTGTAAAATGAACGAAAAGAAATAGCACTTAGCTAATTCTTAGCATTAAAAGCGTTAGCAGTCGATAGTTGTCAACTCAAGTTAGCAATATCAGCCTGTAAATAATAGCTCAAAGGCTCAAGAGGGAAGAGTATTCGTCCGTAATCCTATAGTCAACGTAAGCTATTAATAAAATTTGAGCTCACTTATCATCACTTTATCCTTTTCTGGTTTATTTGAGAATATTAAATTTGCCTAATAGGGAAGTAAAATGAAGAGAACTCACGAATCAATCAATTATGAGAACAATGTCTCTCAGATAGATCATCAAAACTACTCTTAGTTGAATAGTTCTCAACTTAAAAAATAGGTAAGTTTGATGCCTCTATTATGCGAACCACCCTTCTTATTGCCTGCAAAATAATGGTAATTAACATTATTTATAGATAATTGTAAACAATAAGAAATTGAAGTTGAATAGAGCAGCAGTACAAGCTCAAGCAGCAATGTCCACCAATTAATCTCAGAATAATTCTCTTGTCCAGCAACTTCTGCAAAGTATGCCTTCCCCTCAGAAAATTCTTCATGGTGCGAGCATGAATGCTCAACCCAATATAAATTTAAAATCAGCTGTAAATTATCATCTATCGATAACATACTATTACTAGAGAAGATATCAATTAGGTGGGAACAGTAACGCTGGTAACGGTGTAAACTAACAGAAATAGTTACTTCCAACGCATACTCAGCTTAGCCCTTAAAGCATAAATATGCAGTTAGTTAATTAACTGCAACAATATTCTTAAGGTCCTCCTTAAATGCAGACCATTAATATAAGCTCATACAAGGCTACACTGCCTTAGAATAAAAACATAAATTTATCCCTTGATAGAAGTACAATTCCCCATCAAAATGATTTAAGTAAGTGAAATTGAAGTAATGATTTATTCCCTCGTTTAGTGCTTTAAAGTCCAATATCAAGTGACACAAACAGCTCTATAAATACCTTAGATTAGACTTTGAGATTGAGAATAGGAGCTTCTTTGCCTAAAGGAATGTCAAACAATTCATCAGGAATTCAAAACTAGAATGGTGTTCCAACTAATCATTTCTACCAGACTTAGAGTTTGACTAGAGAGGGTTATGGGTATTAACCTCAATAACTTCAATAAAATAGTTTGAATTTCAATAGTCTAGACAATTCTACTGACAGAATTAATAGTAAAAGGATCTTTAATGAGTCTTGCACCTACGGCTCCCAGGCTCAAGCAAATAAACAATCTTCTTAGAACGTCAAAAGAAACAATTTCATAACGAGTCCTTATAATAACTAAGATGAGTAGAACATCCCGATGTCACCAGAATCCTAATCATAACCGAATCCACCAACTTTAAGAAAGATAACTTTAAATCAGAGAATTTAATAAAAAAACTTGATTAGACAATCCTAGAATAATATTTAAGGACAATAATAACAATAGTTTCATGATGATTAGCTCTAGCAATAGCCGATCAACTTAAGAAATAAAAAAATCTCTCAGTCAAAGGTGCTATAAAACTCTAATTAATTTTCAAATAATAGCTTATAATATCAATAAATAATCTAAAACATACAATAGTAAAGGTAATAAATTATAGATGGAAATCAAAATCAAGAGCCTTCTGAAAAGTTATAGCAAACTATTTCTAAAATATATGGGAAACAGAGAAAAGACAGCGTCTCAGGCTCATAAGACCCAAATCTATCAACGATTGATCAATCTCAGATAGCTTAGATATAAACAAAAGGGAAATAAATCAAGATCAAGAAATCATTCATTAAAAATAGTGAGATCTCAAGTCAGCTTAATCAAAGTTTGCAGAATAATCTGCTAAACTCATCCAGTAATGTCCCACAACTGAACCTGAGTGAGGTCAGCTAAGAGAGAACAAACGAACAATAAAAACCTTTGCTATTAAACTTGAATGGGGTAAATCAAGGTAACTTAACCTCAGCTAGAAGACAATAGATCAAGGTTGACACAATCAGGAATAAGATTAATTTGACCTAGCAAGACCACTCAAATCAACTCAATCCTGTGGTATTGTAACAACAATAACCTACTAATAGATCTAATAGGTCAAACAACTTAAACGTTGTTGAGAATGAAAATGGCTCTAACTCTCACAGAGAAACTGCTATTTCAAAGACTATATCATCTGCTAGATAAGAAGTAGATTCTCAAATTACTCAAAAGTCACATCCATTACTTTAGCCCGGCTAGGCATCAAATGATTCAATAAGACTTGAGGATATTCAATTCCCTATTACTCCTGGAAGGACTCTTAAGTATTTCAAGAATTAATTGTCATAGTATGAGCAAGCAGAGATACTTGATTATCCATAGATTTATTACATTGGCCATGGAGCATAGAAAATCAAAGGGTCTCCTCAGAATGAGTTTAACTATGGCTATGATGATAAAAAGGGAAATTACAAAATTATCATGAAGGATCACATTGGATATAGATATGAAATCTAATAATTCTTGGGCAAAGGATCCTTTGGCATTGCTCTTAAATGCTTTGATCACAAATTAAAGGAGTAAGTAGCTCTTAAAGTGATTAAAAACAAAAAGAAGTATTATTACTAAGCTGGTGTAGAATTGAAGATTTTGTAATACTTAAAGGAAAATGACCCAGATGATACTATGAATATAATCCATATGAAAGATTATGTCATTTTCAGGAAGCATTTATGCATTTCATTTGAACTAATGAGCATAAATTTATATGACTTCCTGAAACTAAATGATTTTGAAGGGCTATCACTTGGCTTAGTAAGAAGATTTGCTATACAGCTCCTTTATGCTCTAAAATATTTAAAGGAACACGAGGTTATTCATTGTGATCTTAAGCCTGAAAATATTCTGCTTAAAGATCCTACTAAATCAGGAATAAAAATCATAGATTTTGGAAGTTCTTGTTTTTAAGATGAAAGAGTCTACACCTATATTCAGTCTAGATTCTATAGAGCACCTGAAATCATTCTTGGAATACCTTACACTACAAGTATCGATATGTGGTCATTCGGATGCATAATGGCTGAGTTTTGCATAGGTTACCCTCTATTCCCAGGGGAGGATGAGATGGAGTAACTTGCTATGATTATGGAGGTATGTGGGATACCCTCATAAGAAGTGTTATTGGTGAGTCAAAGGAAAAAGAAATTTTTCAATGATGACAATGTCCCTATTTTAGTACCGAACTCCAAAGGTCAGGTAAGAAAACCTGGAACAAAAGTTATTGAGGATATTTTAGAGTGTAAAGACGATGCCTTTGTAGATTTTGTAGATAAATGCCTAGATTGGAATCCTGAGACCAGGATGTCGCCAGATATGGCTCTCAGACATCCGTGGATCCTTGAAGGACTGCCACCTAAGGTGTTAATCCATCATCAGAAGTTGCATAATATACCAACTTCTGAACTACCTCCTCACATAAGAGAACTTAGAAAAGAATATCTTTTGAAGGAGTAAATGAGCAGCAATCAGTAGTAAATCTAGCTATAGTCTCAATAATAACAATTAAACAGCTAGTAATAGTATCAGCATAGATCTGAGCCACGCAAGTAAACTTATCAAAACCCAGTGATTTCGAAAAGAATTCAGAACTAACTAATAAATCCATCTTTGTAAAATTAAAACTCAGATCAACCTACTGCTTAATCTTAAGAAAATGGTTCTAATTTCAATGTGATTTCCCCTCGAACAAAGAAAATAGTTCTATAAAGTTAAGATATTTAAAAGCAAAGCATTCCAAGTACTGTCAAAAGTAGTTAAAATACTATTGATAGCAATAAAAACCTAGAAAATACTCTCAGAAACAGAAAGATAATTCTATAAAGTGGACTTAAAAAAGGAGAAAATTAAAAATAGTAGCAGTAGTAATAGCCTGCTAATGAGCAAGCTCAAACGAATTAAAGCATTACAAGGAAAGCTATTAATAACTGATTTGAATATTATCATATATCATCAACAACACATACCTACCTACATACTTATTATATCTAATAAGCAATTTTGTTTGATTAAACTCGCATAAATATTAATCTTATTTTATCTAAAAGCAGCTTTAAATTTACCGATTAAAGAACGATGGGGTTTTGGGGTTTTGGGGTTTTGGGGTTTTGGGG